ACACACACACACACACACACACACACACACACACACACACACACACACACACAATATTAGAGACAAAAGAAACCCAAGAATGTGTCACATGTGCTTGAATTGCAGACTCTGACCATAACAAGAACATACCTTGACATGGGCCTTAGAACACGTGTACAAATTTGTCCTATATGACTTACAACCCTCCCAGAAGTAACAAAACAAAAAGAGAAGTGTATTTTTTTTAATTTATCTTGTAAACTAGTAAAGTATTGATTGTTGCCTTTACTTTCCATTATCCACATTGATTGACTCACAAAAACAACACTGCCAAGGAAACATGATATTAAATGCTACAAACACTAATAAGAAAGAGAAAATTTGATGAACAATCTGAACTGACTAAGAATAATTATAGGCACTTGTTTACCCTTTATCACACATTTGACTGTTTAACTTCGACTTGTGGCTGGTCATATAATAAAGTCATATAATAAACTTGTTAGCAAGGAAGAAGACTATGGATTTGACCAAGATTAGATTGAAAAGCTATGATAAAGGGAAACAGATACACATTGTATATATATGTATGCACGATACAGTGCATAAGATAAGCAGTGATTAAATAATGGGCTATTTTAATTGCAATCCTAGAACATGTCTGCTACAAATGGTGCACAGTGACTGTATTTTTTTATCATCTTCAATTTGTATTTGCATTATCTCTTTGCATGTTTAAGGCAGGATTAACTTTTTTGGGAAGCAATTCAAATTTCACAGTGTGTGCTACAAGTATTCAGGACTGACGAGCAGATGTCATTGACACACGATGTTTCGTATGATGATGAATTACTTTGCTGTGTCACTTCTACTTGGTATGTAATTTTCTGTTTTCATTCAATTCAAAATAGAACCTGAAAGCAGAAAAAAATCTAGATTTGTTTTTTTAATGAAAAAAGCTCTTTTTGATTGAAATTGTATTTTGCCTTTGATAAATGTTCTGTTGGCAGTCCTAAAGAAAAATACATCTGAACATACGCTTTTGGTAACCCTCAAAAAAATTATTATAGTAAATATTTGACCACTCTTTTGCATTTGCATGGACCCGGCTTTAAAGCGTAGTCCACATATTTTTAGTAGACTTGAGGTCAGGGCTTTGGGAAGCTCATTCCAGAAGCTTTATGGATCATTTCTCAACAACTGCAGATTCCAAGATCAAACAATTTTATGGAAGTACAAGTTATTGTGCTGTGTCATTACTTTGCCAAGTTTTGAAAGAAGACACACTGTGAACCCAAGATGAGGGGACATTGATTAGGATGTGTAGAAACAAGTGAGGAACCACCATGTATTCATGTGTGTGTATGTTACATATAAAGCAATAACACATCAACAGAATGCTTGTTTTTTTATAAATAGGTGTGAATGTGGAAATAAGGCAAGTTGTATAAAGTGCTTTAAGTTGTCAGGTAGAGTAGAAAAGCACTATATAAGACTCAGTCCATGTAGGTGGATGAGGATTGTTGTAGTTATTTTTATGACTATTTTGATTAGCATTTATTTTGTCACCTGGAGAGCATACTTAAACTTGCAAACACAGCACATCTTTCCATGCCGTGTGCACTACATTAATATATCCTTTGTCATGTTCCTTAATGTATTCTACTAAAAAAGAAAAATTATACAGTCTTGGAGGCATTCCTCAGTTTGATTCAAGTGTAAAAACGAAGTTGGTATGTGACATTATTGAGATGGTAACGTGAATGATTACTTTTCAATAGTTTAACAATTTAACAGTAATTTTTAAGATTAATTAAACATTTCTATAACTTTTTATCTTCTTTGTTTCAGGTTTGCTTGTGATACCTGTTATTACTGCGTTTCCTCCTGGTATGAACAAATAAATAGCCAATATATGTGATTTAAAATCACCATAAAGTAATAAATTATGTGTGATAATTATTGTACATATTTGATTTGCATTGTGCAGGTTCTTGTGATGGATACACCAATATAACTCAGTCGTGGCGCAATCGGGGATTTGACGCTACTTATTTTGGTGCCACTCTTGTCAATGACCAGCAGCTTCTTAACAAATGGTGGCGCTTTACAGGGATTGGTGGAGACAGAGTTATTATTAATTGTGTACCCCCTTATCGTGGTGGCACATGGGGTGCTCTTTTTATTTCATCACCTTATCCAACCACTGAGTCTCTGACACCAACAACAGTGACTGCATATGGCTTCTATTCTTGGTGTACTGACATGTCCGCTGTAGTGAATATAGCTCTCTGTCCCGGAGGATTCTATGTGTATCAACCAATGAGTTACCCATATTACCAGCAAGGATATGCGACCTGTGAGTAGTAACTAATTCTTGTTACCATGCTTCTGTTCATTTTTACTTCTAAAATAGAAATCTTAGCTTGAATCCCTTTTTCAAATATTCAGAAATCATTCATTCATTCATTCACTCATTCATTCTTCTCTTGGTAGAGGTGGATGCCTCTTTCCCCCTCTCCCTCCCTTATCTTTCCCTGCTTGGTTTCTGTTCTTTTCTAGTCTTGTCTAACTCTAACCCTCAGAGAGTCTCTCAGTCTTGTTCTGGATTTGATCAACTAGTCCCTTAATGAAATTGACACTGCTTGATGGTCAGTTGTGTCGTGTGCCTGGCGACACTCTCAATGGGGGGCATTGAACAAGATGTGGAAAAATGATAACAGAGTTCTCGCTGTTTGGAGCTGGCTCGGACCTGGCTCGGACCTGGCTTATCGAAGAACAAAGAAAGCGATTACAGCTGTTCAAAACCCCACAAGGCTAGCCAACATTACTGACGATGGGCAAGCTGTGAGTACTCAGACTGTGTTTATTGAACACAATATTGATAAGATCTTGGGGAAGCTCATGGCTCCTCGATGGGAATTGAGAGACTTGATGACCAGTGATGGACATTTAGACCAACTGTGAAACTGGAATGCAGTTGTTCGTTCGAACCCAAACAACCATGTCCTTCATGCAGCTGTCCAAGGCCAAGACTGGCCAGAACAACAATTCTCCCTGATAAGAGGACTGTATTATGACTGTCTGCTCCTATCCCTTAATGTCACCTATGTCAGGTGGAGGAATGTTGACTTTTGCTTGACCGGGAGAAAGGACTCTCGCTCTCGAGTTGAATACTCCCTCCCCCCTCCCAATGCCTCCGAATGCTTACTCCCACCCGAAGTAGACAGGCAGACCTGTCCAACACCGTACCAGGACCAGGCTGCTGTTTATATGGGCTAACTCTTGACTTTTTTCGTACCTCTCTGATCTTTCTTTCCAATGTTTTGCTTGTGTATTCTATGTATGGTCAGAAGGGGTGCTCATGATGGCGCCGGATCATCTGGCAGCCTGCGAAACAATTTCCCTCAGGATAAATAAAGTATTATCAATCAATCAATATAAATTCTTAATTGCTGAAGTTAGTTATCTGCAGTGCTGAAAGTACTTTAACTGGCATGGTCTCCAGGCCTAGGATCAGTTGGCTGGTCACATGACATGCAGACTAGGAGAGAGGAGTGCACATTGGTGTGATCAAACAAGTGAGGCAAAAAAACTGAAGTGATTAAATCATCATC